AAAAGTTGTTCAGTTTATTTTTCTGCATAACATAGTTTTTTTTCGTTTTTTTTTTTTTTTTTTTTTTTTTTGGGACCTTCCCTGGTCCCTACACGGCCGGGCCGCCCGGCTGGTAGCCTAGATTTAATTTGGTTGTCCTCTGACAAAAATCTCCAAAGGTTCATATAAAATTGATGAATCTCTGATGATGTTTTGCTGTGCCCTCTTGTGTCGGTAGTGCGAATAATACTGACTATTCACAACCTCTGCGCTGCGATCGGGGTGTCTTGCTTGCATTGCATGTTAATGTTACAGTGGGAACGCTGGTTTCTTCGCGAGGGTGGTTCGAACTCTGCGGTTAGTCAATACGCCTCTTCCCGCCGCCGTTCACTCCGTGGTGGTAATAATGAATCTCAGCCACCCATCAGCTCTCCCATGACTGCTCCATCCCGAGTCGCATCAGATCTGCAGATGATTCTGTGGTTGGTTTTCTCTTCGCTTTCCCTTCGGGTTCCTAATAGGGGTCGGACCCCCTTTTTTTTTGTTATTCAATAATAATTTGGGCCATTGCAGACATGTGTTGATTATTTGCAGGTCATCCTTGTGTGCAGGGGCCACGCTAATCTGGGATTTTTATTTTATTTTATTGTTATTACTATCTAGGCTACCAGAGTGGCCCGGGTCCACTTGCCCGGCCAGGCCAAAAAGAAATAAAAATAATAAAAATAATAAAAAATAATAAAATTCTTAATTTTTATTTTATTTTTAAATTTGGTAAAGAATTTCAATGCGACCCTGTGGAAAAAGTTGTTCAGTTTATTTTTCTGCATAACATTGTTTTTTTTTTCGGATTTTTTGGATTGTTTTTTTTGGCCGGGACCTTCCCTAGTCCTTGCACGGCCGGGCCGCCCGGGAAAATAGGGTGACCCGGGGGCCCGGCTGGTAGCCCAGATTATTATTATTATTTTTTGGGAAAGGGTGACAGACTTGAGATATCATAGTTGAAAAAGGATTGAACTGCGCCTGCCCCAGGTAATTCAGAATTATTTTTCTCTGTTCGTCTGATTGCATTGCATCTGGATTCAAACTTGGGTCTGATTCGTATTTCAAGTTTCAACAGTTGAAGGGTGTTTCTATTTCAACCTAGCTAGGCCCGGTGTGCATCGTTCCAATTCAAACCACAACAGTGATGTCCCAAAGGACAGGTGTCTGGCCATCTTTGCGTTTATGCGCCGCTGTTGTATTATTTGGCGTCTTCGTGTTGAGATTGCATTTGTGTTTGTTTGAGAGGTTTTTTTTTTTCTGTACCTTTTTTTTTCTTTTTTTCCCTTCATAATAAATTTATTCCCTATCTTCTGTGAACCGAATCACTCTGAACCAGCGAACTTTGCTTGAAGTGCGCTGGCAGGTCTTCGCTTCAGTCAAAGCGCACGCATAAGAAGTCTGAAAAAAAAAGAAAACTTAAAAAGAGATGTTCATGTTTGGTAGCTTTCTTCGCTGTCGTGGTCCCCCCCCCCTCCCCCCCTCATAATCCCCATGTTTGTTTTTAGGGAAAAGTAGAATTTTGGTCAAAGCCCATGACGGATGTTACTTTCTTCCATGTTTATACTATATATGGGGAAAATAAATGGCCCTAAGTTCCCCCTAACATCATTGATTCCAGCAGGATTAGAGCTGGTGACCTATTTAGCAGCAGGCATATATATCTGCCTACAACTTAGCCAAAAATAAATATGCTGTTAAGTTTTAACTTGTTAATAACAGTATGGAATCCAGCAGGACTTGAACTGGTGATCTATTCATTCAGCAGGCATAATATGTGTGTGCAGTCCCATTCAACCATGCATTTAGGGTGAATGTTTTATTAGTGTATTACTATTCTATTATATTTGCAAATTTAAAATTATATTTTAAATATTTTTATGTTTTATTCTAGGCTACCAGAGTGGCCGGGATCCACTTGCTCGGCCGGGCTAAAAAGAAATTAAAAAATAAAATTAAAAAAATATATATATTTTTTAATTTAAAATTTTACTTTAAATTTGGTAAAGAATTTCGATGTGACCCTGCGGCAAAAGTTCAGTTTATTTTTCTGCATAACGTAGTTTTTTTTCGTTTTTTTTTTTTTTTGGCTGGGACCTTCCCTGGTCCTTGCACGGCCGGGCCGCCCGGGAAAATAGGGTGACCCGGGCGGCCCGGCTGGTAGCCTAGGTTTTATTTGAATACATTACGTTGAAACGTAAAACTTAAAACGTTCCCCATTTGTTTGGAAGTCTTCTCCACTTCTCTTGTTTCCACTTGTCAGTTTCTTCAGTGACCGCTGGTTGGCTAACATGTACACACTCGTATGTAACTGCTCATCGACAGATCAACAGTTCGAATCCTGACCTGAATATGATAGTGTCAGGGGACCGGCGATCCCCTTTGCAGACAGAAAGGGTTGTTGGTCACAACTTGTCAGCAGAGCCTTTCGACGTTCTGATCAAAGTGTCTCTTGAAGGTCAAAAATTCAGTCAAAGCCCAGTCAACAGCCTCACCTCGGTCAAAGCTCCCCAAAGGCTGAGCCTTGAAAAGATTTTGCTCCTCCCTCCCTCCCCTCCTTCCTTCCTTCCCTCCCGCTCTCCGTGCTTCCTTCCCTCCTCCTTTCCTTCCCACCTTCCCTACTTCCTCTCTCTCTCTCTCTCTCTCTCTCTCTCTCTCTCTCTCTCTCTCTCTCTCTCTCTCTCTCTCTCTCTCTCTCTCTCTNCTCTCTCTCTCTCTCTCTCTCTCTCTCTCTCTCTCTCTCTCTCTCTCTCTCTCTCTCTGTGTGTGTGTGTGTGTGTGTGTGTGTGTGTGTGTTGCTCTCTCCACGTCAGCTTCCCATTCATCCTCCCTCGGCACCCTTTTCCCACCCTTGCTCTTTCCCGCCTCCATACCTCCCTCCCTTGTCTCCTTCCCCCCTCCATCCCCTCCTCAGTCCATCCCTTTTGCTTCCTTCCCCTGTCCGTTCCTCTCTCTGTCCACCAATCCCTATGACTCTTCCTCTCCCCTTTTTCACTCCCTCCTTTCCTCTCTCTGTCCATCTCTCCCTATGACTCTTCCTGTCTGCTTTTTCACTCCCTCCTTTCCTCTCTCTGTCCACCTCTCCCTATGACTCTCCCTCTCCCCTTTTTCACTCCCTCCTTTCTCAGCGCGGCTGCTTATGGATAGGCTTAGGACTTGCCATCAATTACACTGGTTCTTGCTTCGTTCTTTCTTTCCTTCTTTCTTCCTTTCCTTTTTTTTTTTTTTCTTTTTTTTTTTGCCTTTCTTCTTTTCTTTAGCACTGGCTCACTGGTTCTCGGTTTTGGATCCCTGGCATGCTCTTGTCTGACATGCCTCCCTCCTGTTCACAGGTCAGATCTCCAAATGGTGTCGCTCGGACTCATCGCTTTGCAACCGCCACCGCAGAGGTACCTGCACAGGAGGGTGAGAGAGTAACAGTGGCATCTGCTGCACCAGATGGCGCCAGGCGGACGTTGATGGGGCCGCTTTCGACAGTCTCAAGGGCCCCAGGCTGGCGGTCAGGCGAGCCGATGTCCATCACCAATCATATCACCGGTCGAGTGCTGTCATTGCAACGAGCGCCACCGGAGGCAGGGAGCGGTGCTTCCACAGACTTTTCACTGCTTGTTCCTGCGGCGCTGCTCTTAGCTGGTAGTGATGCGGCCACTGGTTTGATTGACCCGTCTCTCCCTCGGCTTGTCGCGATAGGAGCTGGGATAACACTGGCAGCCGGCGGGATTGCGAACACATTTGTGCTACCTCGGATAAACATGGTACTAAGTACTACTACCTAGTACTACCTAGTACTACCTAGTACTACCTACTACTACCTACTACTATCTACTACTACCCACTACTACCTACTACTACCTACTACTACCTACTACTACCTACTACGTACTACTAACTTCTACGTACTAAGTACTAAGTACTAATAGCAAGTACTAACAATATTGTACATAGTACCACGAACTACCATTACCATGTACTACCGAGTACTACTACTAAAAACTACCGTGTGCTAAGTACTGCTAAGCATACATGCGGCGCATCGACGTGTGCTGCACCGTGCACACGCGCCACACCACGCACAGCGCACGACGCGCGCACACTGGGTGCGGCGCACCCCGAAAATAAGGGGTCGAGAAAAGAAAAAAAAAAGTTGGGGAGGCTGAGTGGGATCTTGCGTCAAGAACCTCAAAAAAAATAAAAACAAAAATTTGAGGCCGCGTGGGGCCTCCGGAAAAAAAAGGGGGGAGCTGAAGTTAGTTTTTTTGTTTGTGTGTGTGTATGTGTGTGTGTGTGTGTGTGTGTGTGTGTGTGTGTGTGTGTGTGTGTTGTTTGTTTGTTTGTGTGTGTGTGTG